GGGTATTTATGTTAATTAGGTAATTTTGCTTGTATTACATAATGTTGCTTTTGAAAAAAAAATATTTGAGCGGAAAGAAATCGAATACCCTAGTACTCGAAATGTCGGGTACCTGAATTTTGTGGATTCCCAAATTACGGGTACCCGATTATTATGAGCCGAGTCACGGGTTGAAAATTTAATACTCATAAATTCTGAGTATCTAAAATTTTAGGTATCCGAATATGAACACCCCTATCAATAGGCCACCTTAACGGCCTCTTTGTTTAGAAAAGAAAAAGACCAGGGTGAGAAAGTTATCAAGTTTTGAAAATAATATAGATAAAAAATTATTCATGGACCAAATAGAGAAAAAGGGCCAAGTCTAGGGGACAAACTATGATTTATCCATTGATAGACAACAAAAAGAAATGCAACTGTTCCCATTGTGGAAATCTATCAAGGGCAAATCAGTCAATTGGGAAAAAGGAAGTAACTGAGAAATTGAGGTGTGTTTGTTTTCACTGTTTAAGGTCTTCAAAGCTCTTATGTCTGTGTCGCGCAGATTACGCGCAGATATTGAGCTTCGCAGACCGTTTGTTTTGTAGAAGACATAAGCTCTTCTAACGTCTGAGCGTGGTCTGAGCGGCGCAGACGTAGCCTTATGTCTACAGACGTCTTCTAACATCTTCAAAGAATCATTTTTGCTATTATTTTTTTAAAAATTATAAAATGTCATTAAATTTAATAAATTATTACAAAATAGTCACTATAATGTTGTAATAAATTATAAAATTTTGATAATATAATAATTATTTTATAGTATTTAGATAAATTTATTAATAATTTTATAATCTTTTAATAAATTTAATAAGTATTTTATAATTTTTTAAACTTTATTGACGAAAATATTTATTTGTATATAACTCAACGATATCTAATATACTTTATTTGAAAAAATATATTAAACTTAGTAAAAAATATTATACAATTAAACTTAGTAAACTTTTTTTTATATAAAAACTTAGAAAATCACGGGGACATACAAGTATTAGCATTAAAAGACAAAATAAATATTTTAATAAAAAAATATTCACACTATTGAAAATTTTGATTTTTATCATTTAATTCTGGTAAAGTACGAAAGTCTCTTTATACAAAAAATAAATAAATAACAAATAATATATTTTTTCTAAATAGAAAAATAGTAATTGATGTATATTATATGTAGTATATATTATATATATTTTTTGATGTTACTAGAATCGGATTGTACCACTAGAATAAATTAAGATGATTTAAATGATATTATAAAATCAAGTATTGATATATTTGTGAATCGATAATAATTGAGAATTAAAATATAATTTTTTTTAACAATTACTTAAACCGAAACAAACAGATTGAATTAAAATCAAATTGATTTCATTATCGATTGATTTAATAATAGTTTTTAAAATGATATATAATATTAAAACCAAAATCTAATAGTCCGTAGATGTAATAATTTATAATAATAAAATTCGTATAATATTTATTTAATATATTTTTTCAAATAAAGTATATTAGATATCGTTGAGTTATATACAAATAAATATTTTCGTCAATAAAGTTTAAAAAATTATAAAATACTTATTAAATTTATTAAAAGATCAGTTTATTTATATTTCAGTTTATTTTAGCAGTCTACAGACGTACAAAAATAAATAATATTTTTCTTGTACACTGCAAACTTTTAATCCACCTCTTCTGCTATAAATGTAGTCAGCAGACTGCAGTTCTTTTACTTCTGAAAAAATAAACACCACCTTAACTTTTTTTCTCCTCGTAAATTTCACTCAAATCCCAGGGCGATTTGGAGCAATAAATGAGGGTTGGTCCATTTCCAAAAGTTTTTTTTAAAATGAAATTATTACTAATATTTAATTACTTTATTAATTAAAATATTATTTAAATGTATTTTATAAAAAAAATTAATTTTATAAAGTTGATGTTGATTTATTTTTTTAAGATAATTATATGATTGATCACTTATGTTTATGCTTGTCTATTTTTTCTCATTGATTTCGAAAAACATAATATAAGTCAACTTTCGTTTTTATTTAATTAAGATATGGTTACTATGACTTAATTGTCACTAAATATTTTGATATAATTACACATTTGGTCCATATTATTTATATATTCTTTCAATTTAGTTATATTTTTAATAAATTAAATAAATTTAATCCTCCAATCGAATGATGACACGTGCCATTGGTACCACATGTCGTGTCACGTATCACCATTCGATTGGAGGACTAATTTTTCAAAGTATTGGTGGAAATTAAATACATTAAATTAAAATAAAGTTAACCCTCCAATCGAATGGTGATACGTGACACTAGTGACACGCAACACCAAATACACGTGGTATCATTCAATTGAATGATTAAATTTATTTTAATTTATTAAAAATATAACTAAATTGAGAGAATATATAAATAACATGGACCAAATATATTATTATACCAAAATATCATGTCACCTAATATGTTAACTGTTAACGACAGTTAACTCGTAGTGAGTACATCTTAATTCAATAAAAACGAAAATGATCATATCTTAATTGAATATAAATAAAATTGACCATATATTATGATTTTTGAAACGAGTTAGTAAAAGTAGCTAAAATATAAAGATAAGTGATGAACCATGTAATTAATTTTTTTCTTATTAATATGTAGTGAATATAAGATGATATTTATTTAAAGATTGTCAATCATTTAACATTAAACACTCATACACTTTTATATACGTGACTCTTAAATCGAAATTTTAAGAAATAACAGTAATTCATTAATCATTCAAATTAACTAGTTAAATTTAAGTTAAATTAACATTTTTTAAATGATATTTTAATTTAATTTCTATTATTTAAATCTATAATTTTATATAAGAATCTAAGGCTTATGTCACTAAATTGATTAGTAATAGGTAAAAATGACTACTTAAAATGTTAAATTGTATATATTTATCAATATTTGATTTATTTAATTAAAATATAATTTGATTTGTATTAAATTTTATTAAAATATGATTTTATACAATTAAGTTGGATCTGTTACACTCAGAATAATTTAACACTCTTAGGTGATGTTTGTTTTCACTGTACAAGCTCTTCAAATCACTTATGTCTGCGTCGCGCAGACCATGCGCAGACATTAGGCTTCGCAGACTGTTTGTTTTTTAGAAGACAGAAGCTCTTCAAACGTCTGCGCGAGCTCGTCTTGGTGCAGACTTGATTTTATGTCTTCAAAGGTCTTCAAACCTCTTCAAGAATAATTATAAAATATAGTTATTTTTTAAAATAATTTTAAATAATTTAATAAGGTTATTTATTTTAAAATAATTTATTTTAAAATAATTTATTTTAAAATAATTTATTATAAAATAATTTATTTTAAAATAATTTATTTTAAAATAATTTATTATAAAATAATTTATTATAAAATATGGATTGATTTATTTTAAAATAATTTATTTTAAATAATTTATTAGTATGAATTGATTTATTTTAAATAATTTATTAGTATGAATTGATTTATTTTAAAATATGGATTGATTTATTATTGTAGTTGTGTGGATTGATTTATTTTAAATAATTTATTAGTATGGATTGATTTATTTTAAATAATTTATTAGTATGGATTGATTTATTTTAAAATATGAATTGATTTATTTTAAAATATGGATTGATTTATTTTAAAATATGGATTGATTTATTTTAAAATATGAATTGATTTATTATTGTAGTTGTATGGATTGATTTATTTTAAATAATTTATTAATATGGATTGATTTATTTTAAAATATGGATTGATTTATTTTAAATAATTTATTAGTATGGATTGATTTATTTTAAAATATGAATTGATTTATTTTAAAATATGGATTGATTTATTTTAAATAATTTATTAGTATAGATTGATTTATTTTAAATAATTTATTTGTATAGATTGATTTATTTTAAAATATGGATTGATTTATTATTGTAGTTGTATGGATTGATTTATTTTAAATAATTTATTAGTATGAATTGATTTATTTTAAAATATGGATTGATTTATTATTGTAGTTGTATTGATTGATTTATTTTAAATAATTTATTAGTATGGATTGATTTATTTTAAAATATCGATTGATTTATTTTAAATAATTTATTATTGTAGTTGTATGGATTATTTAAATTTCAGTATTGTAAAACTAAAATTATTTAAATCTCAGTATTGCAAAACTCTTTTAAGTTTAAAAAATCAGTTTATTTATATTTCAGTTTATTTATATTTTAGTTCATTTTAGCAGTATGCAGACGTTAAAAAACAAACAATCTTCTTCTTGCAGACTGCAGACTTTTGGTCCACCTCTTCTACTGCAAATGCCTGCAGATGTGATCCGCAGACTACTGACCTTTTACCTCTGCAAAAACAAACACCACCTTAGTCTAGATCAAAATTTATTAAAAACAATCTTTTTAACTTATTTTTTATTCATAATGCAAATAAAAAATTATACTCTTATTTGAAGATTTAAAGTTTATCTCACTAAACATGAATCAAATGAATCTCAATAATAAAAAAATTTATTGTTATTTTTGAGATTTCGAGTTCGAACACAAAAATTATTAACAATGTGAATGGAATAAGAGTTTATCTCAGATTAAGTTGGTAAACGATCTCTTGTTCAATGTCAAACGAGACAATATTACCTATAAATATATATTGTCTTGTGTTTATATCATATTAATAAATTTTTTTATCTTAATAAATCAAATTGTAATTAGTAAGAATAAAAAAATAAAGATGTGATTTAGAAAGTTAAAGCGTGTATACATTTTATTAATTTTTAAAAAATAAAGTTTTTTAACAGTTTAAATTAATATTTTAATTTATTGGACGTGAAAATTGGTTCAAATTTGGTTGAATAGCAGCGTTGGGTTACGGTTGCGATGCTTATCTCTCTCTCGAGGGCTTTCTTTGTCTCGTATCGGCTACCTTCTTCATGTTCTCACTTTCTCGCCTTAGATTTTTTTTTCCAAACAAGCCCTGGACTGAGAAACGCCGAGAAAATCATAGAAAATTTCAAGTCTTCGGTTCTACCGATTGAAGAAAACGTTGCAGAAGCTGGAAACCACCGCCGTCTTAACGGAGTCGGATCCGTCACTGAGACCGTGAAATCTGGCATGGTAAGTTTGTCTTAGAAAAAGCGCCATAGGTTTATTCAAATTTTGTGGAAGTGAGAAACCTTATTGTCTTTGTTCTTAGGTTATTGGAAGAAGCCGTAGGTTATTTTAGGGTTTGATAATTCGGGTAAAAAGGAGAAAAACGGTGGCGTTTTGTTGGGGGTGATGCCGCCTCATGCGATTTGATGCCGCCTGAACCGTTTCCTTGGGATCGGAAGGATTTTTACAAGGAGAGGAAGCACGAGAGGACGCAGTCGCTGCCTCAGCAGCTACTGACGGCACGATGGAGAGACTCTTCGATGTCGCCTTATCAGAATGGGTCTTTTAGAGAATTTACTCGTTGGGGATCCGCTGATTTCCGTCCTCCTCCTGGTAAATTCTTTCTATAATTTTTTATGCCATTTCTTCCACCCGCGGTCGCTTATTTTGAAGTTTAATACTCATTATTTAATTGCAAGTATTTTACCGACATGAATTATTGCGGGACGGGTTTATTTTATTTTTTTTAAAATTTTGGCGTTGGGAATTAAGGACTGGTCAGATCCGTGGGTTTTAAGGTTTTGGTTTAGTTTCTTTTGGGAATATTTGATTTTTTTTCTTATGTTTTGTTTTGATTTGAGATTGTATGTACCTTCATTCTACTTAATGGGGATTTTCTTTATTCTCCGCTAGTTTTTTCCTTCTTGTTTTGCTTTATTTAAGAAATTGATTTTCTGGGTAGTGTTTTCCTTTTGTCAGGGATAGGAATATTGTTTTTCCGTCTTGGGTTATATAAGAACATATATCTCCCCTTCCTCACCGGGATTTGAAATGTAAATATACATTGCACGTGTTAATATTTGTTACCTTTTCTTTGTTTCTTTAATTTTTATGAAGGTCATGGTAGGCAGGGCAGTTGGCACCTGTTTGCTGAGAAAAATGGCGGTCATGGATATGTTCCATCACGATCGGGTAACAAGATCTTGGATGATGAGAATTTCCGTCAGTCAGATTCTCGTGTAGATGGGAAATATGGTCAAAACAGTAGGGAAAACTACAGAGGGTCTTATAGCCAGAGAGATTGGAGAGGTCATTCTTGGGAAAGCTGCAATGGGTCCCCAAGCACGCCTGGGAGGCCTCATCATGTCAATAATGAGCGGAGGTCCATGGATGATATGTCATCCTACCATTCTCATATTCATTCCGACTTTGTGAACACATGGGATCAACATCAAAAAGGCCAGCATGATAATAAGACAGGTGCTGTAAATGGGTTAGGCACAGGTCAAAAATGTCAGAAAGAGAATTCAGTAGGCTCAGTTGATTGGAAGCCTCTGAAGTGGAGTCGCTCTGGAAGCTTGTCTTCACGGGGTTCGGGCTTTAGCCATTCAGGTAGCTCAAAGTGCTTAGGAGGTGTAGATTCTGGTGAAGGGAAACATGAGTTGCAACAGAAAAATTTGACCCCTGTCCAGTCTCCTTCCGGAGATGCAGCAGCCTGTGTCACATCTGCTACACCTTCTGATGAGACAATGTCAAGAAAGAAGCCACGCCTTGCGTGGGGTGAGGGTCTGGCCAAGTATGAGAAAAAGAAAGTTGAAGGCCCTGATACAATCACAGACAGAGGTGGGGCTATGATTTCCGTCTGTAATACAGAGTCTAACAATTCTCTGAGTTCTAACTTGGTAGATAAGAGCCCCAGAGTCCTTGGATTTTCTGACTGTGCTTCTCCTGCAACTCCTTCATCTGTTGCTTGCAGTTCCTCGCCTGGTAAAATACTAGATTCTCTTGTATATTTATTCAGTTTTAAGCATATTACCTAAAGCAGATGTGCTTTTTATGACTATTCTCTTTATATAGCAACAATAATTTGACGGTCTTGTTCGATTATATAGAAGCAATAACTCAGCACCACTGTTTGATAATATGTTCCTGATTCATCACTTGTAAGGCTACCTGGCCTTTTTAACACCATGAGTATTATATGGTTGAATGATGTCCAAAGTATTCACAAGCATTTTAGCAGGTCTGCATGCCAATGAAATTATGCGTAGAACACTGGTAGTCGCTCTACGTTCTACATACACCTTTTTAAGGCCATCGAAAAGTTCAACAGTTATGTGATTCTTGACTCTCTTATTCCCACTTAGAGCAAACTCTATCTGTGTACTCTATGATTTTATGAGGTGATAGCAATTTTCCTTTTATCAGTTCCTAGGTTTCAGTTATCAACCCATTTAGCCTGCCTATATCAAATTATAGGGCCTTGTTATTAAGGATGGAAAAGTCACATATCTTGCTAGATTGGTTGTTCCCATTTGAGAATTTGACCCATGTTCTAATCATGTGTTAGAAGAAACTTCTGTTTTCTGTGCATTCATTGCTTTTTGTCTAACTTTTTCTGTAGTTGTTTTCTTATTTAAGTTTCACATTCTTAAATGGTGTTATCCCACTAATTAAGAATCGGTTGGGCGTTCAAGAATGTGAAACAAAGCCTCAGTTCTATATGTTGGGTGTTTAACTTGGTATTAAAGCCTTGTTTCTTTTCTCTATGTCTGGTTGATAACTCCAGAACGCAGTGGAGTTTACATGGAGGCCTTTGTGGAGCTACATCTGGGGTGCTAAGTGGTTTTATCTCACATCTATTCAGAATTGGGTTTCTTGTGGTCTTATATTTAACCTGGGTCCTTCCACTCATTGACAGTTGGTTTTATATTGGATGTTTGCCCCTATAGTTTACAAACCATGTCAATTAGTTTTTTTTAAATTATTAGGAGAATTTCAAATTGCTGAATGTTAAATTATTCCCTTTCACCCTCTATCGATTGTGATGACGATGCTTTTCTCATTTATTCCCGCAATGGTCCTGGTTGTTGCAGGTGTGGAAGAAAAATCATTTGGCAAAGCTGCAAATATTGACAATGATATTAATTTATGCGGTTCTCTAAGTATTGGGTCTCAAATTCATCTAGAAGGATCATCTTTTAATTTAGAGAATTTGGATATCAATTCAATTATTATTAATATGGGCTCTTCACTTGATTTGCTTCAACATGATGATCCTTGGACAGTATATTCTAGTTTTGTTCGCTCTACTGCAATAAACAAGTTGCTACTACTGAAAGGTGATGTTTTAAAGGCTTTGGAGATGACTGAATCTGAAATTGATTCGCTTGAAAATGAATTCAAATGGTTGAAAGGTGATTCTAGAAGTGAATGTCCTTGCCCAGCAACATCTAGTTCTCTTCCTGCTGAGGAACATGGGAGAGCATGTGGGGAACAAGAGGCTCCATCCAGTATGATCCCTCGACCTGCCCCTCTGAAGATTGACACTTGTGCTGATCCTCTTGTGAAGAACCTGCCCCTTTGTAATGCTGTCCTGGAAGAAGTTAATGATGTTAAAGATGAGGATATTGATAGTCCTGGAACAGCAACATCTAAATTTGTGGAACCATCGTCTTTGGAGAAAGCAGTTTCTCCGTCTGATATTGTGAAGCTCCACGAGTGCTCCGGTGATTTGGGTTCTGTTCAATTGAAGACAACAGAGGTGATTTTAGCTACTGGTTCAGGTAATGAAGGGACTGCGGCGACCATTTCTGTGGAAGGCAGTCTGCTTCGAAAGATTGATAATGATGCACCTGTTTCTGAATCTTCAAGCTCTGATGCTGGTGGAGAGAATGTTATGTACAAAACAATATTGGCTGCTAATAAGGAGTTGGCTAATGTAGCTTCTGAAGTATTTAATAAACTATTGCCAAAAGATTTCTATGGTGTTGCAATTTCTGAAATTGCTAATGTAGCACATATGCAGTCTGATACCACAATCAGGGGAAAAATTACAATGAGGAAACATTACTTAAGATTTAAGGAGAGAGTTTTGGCACTTAAATTTAAAGCATTTCAAAATGCACGGAAGGAAGACATGCGTTTGCTTTCGATGAGACAATGCCGTGTGAAGGCTCAGAAGAAGTATGAATTAAGTTTACGTTCAATTCATGGTGGCTACCAAAAGCATCAGTCCTCCATTCCTTCTCGAGTCACTTCTCCTGGTAATTGTTTGAGCCTCCTGTTTAGAATGGTTTATATCTGATGCCAGTTTGTTGTGATTTTGCATGTGGTTTGAGTGGCATAATTTCAGATTATGTAACACTTCATTTTGTTTCCTCTTCTCTCATCTGTTATCCCTTTTCAATTACCTTTTATCTTTGATCATTTGTCTCCTTGAATGCATGGAAGGTAAATTCGTAAGGATTATTTATCATAAGTTTAAACTGTGATGCCCCTTCTTTTTTCAATTTTTATTTGAAATGAACTTAATATAGAAGTGTTATTGGAAATCAGTATTTGAAATAAAGGTAAATCTTGAATGGAAAAAGGAGACTATTAGGTAGGTTTCTTTTGTGAATAGAGAAGTGGATAATCTAGGTTTAGATCTGTCATCCCAAGAAAATAGATGTTGAATATATGGTATAGATCAACGTAGTTTAAGAGAACTGTGTTCAGACCTGGGCAACTTCTATTGGTTGTTCGGTTGGGAGTTTCCCCTTTAATTACCTAGGTCTCCCATTAGGGGCAACTAAGAATGCATCTGCTATTTGGGAACCGGTGGTGCAGAATTTTCATACTAAATTAGCGGGTTGGAAGGTTGCTACACTTTCATTAGCAGGGAGACTGGTTTTGATCAAATCGGTTCTGTCCTCACTGCCTACGTATTTCGTGTCTATGTTCGAGATTCCAGTTTCAATCCTTAAGGCTCTAAACTCGATCATGTCTAATTTTTTATAGGGAGGGGGAGGGGGAAATGGTTCAAAGAAGATTCATTGGGTTAAATGGGATGATGTATGTAAACCTAAGAACGAGGGTGGTCTGGGAGTCCGGAATCTGACTAGTATGAATAGAGCATTGCTAGGGAAATGGTGTTGGAGATTTGCAAATGAGAGACACTCTGTTTGGAGGAATTTTATCTGTAGCAAATACAACATTGATTCTTCAAGGTTACTGTTTGATAGCAAGGTTCCTCCTCAGTCTTCTTGGCTTTGGAGATCGGTGGTTAACAATCATTACAAACAAGACTCCTTTGGCCCTAAGTTTTGAAGTTTGTGTAGTTTTTATGTTGGAAATGGTAAGCTTATTCATTTTTGGCAAGATAGTTGGGCTGCAGATTATCCGCTTCAGTTTCTTTTTCCTAGATTGTTTTCGGTTTCTTCTAATAGATCTGGTAAACTTTGTGAGTTTGGGGAATTCCTTCCTTCTGGCTGGGTTTGGGATGTTCAAGTTAGAAGAAATTTAAATGATTGAGAGGTTGAACAATGGTGTAACTTGGTGAGCTTCATCTCTCCCTATTCTTTGTCTAAAGATTCCAGTGATATTTTACTTTGGAAAGGCAGTGGGGATGGTGTTTTTTCAGTCAGTTGTATTAAAAGTTGTGCTTCAGGATCAGATGATGTTTGCTTCTGGAATAACATTATTTGGAGAGGTTTGGTACCCCTAGAGTTGAATCTTTAATGTGGCAGGTTGTGCTTGGCAAGCTAGCTGTTAAATCCGAACTGATTAAAAGAGGGGTTCAAGGTATCGAGGATGATTTATGCCCTCTTTGTAAATTGGTTGAGGAAACTTCCACGCACTTATTCTTTACATGTTCGGTTGCATGGGCTTTGTGGTACAAGTTATATAATTTTTGGAGATTTAGTTATGTGTTTCCTGCTGATGCAAAAACCTTTCTTACTGCTTGGGATGAGTTGAAATCAAATTCTTCTATTTGGACTTTTATTCCTGGGGCTATCATTTGGACCATTTGGAAGGCCATAAATTTTATTGTCTTTGAAGGGGGAAAGCTTGATCAGTTAGAGTTATTTTTCTTATCACGAGTTAGGCTGGCTTCTTGGTTTCTAGCTAAGCACAAGGACGTTTCTATTCATAAGGATTCCTTGATTATGGATCCTTCATTAGCAGATTCCTACTCGCCCTACAGCTCTATGAAGTCTTCCTCATTCCCTTGGGGACCTCTCCCTTCTGATTTTTTTAAATTGAATGTGGACGCAGCCGTTAGTAGTGACTGGAAGAAATCAGGTATAGGAGGTATTTGGAGGGATCATTCAGGTTCAATCCTAGGTTCTTTTCAAGAGTTAGCTGGTCCGGGTCCTCCGACTATGATCGAACTTAAAGCTATTCAGAGGGGTATTTTATTATATGCTTCTGCTCAAGGGAGGGTCAAAGATAGGCTGATTGTTGAGAGTGATAGCAGAGTTGCAGTAGACTGGATCAATAATGTCAATTCATGCCCAGTTGTTTATGCTTTCATTGTTAGTGATATAGTTGACAATCTTAGATCTTTGGGGGGGGTTATAAATTGGGTTGCTAGGTCAGCTAATATGGACGCCGATGCTTTAGCAAAGGCTGGAATAGGCTAATTTTTATGTTGTTTGCTGTTTCAGTTTAGCATTTGATTCCTGTTCGGGCGGGATTTATAGACTGTTGTAAGGGTTATTTCGAAGAGATTTATCGAGGTTGTAATCTTATTTTCTTTTATGAAAATCTAAGGCGCTCTTTTCCTCCTTCCAATGATTAAAGAGCTTCTTTTCAAGATCCATTAATCAAGAAGAGCTTTTTAATGAGGCCTTCTAATCTTATCAAAAAAAGAGAGAATTGTGTTCAGTTATTGAATCAAATAGTAATCAACACTATCAAGGCATACAAAAACTTCCATGACAATTCTTTTCTGATAAAGAATTGCACAACGCTAGCACTGGGAGACTGCTCATTGTTCTATATTATGAAGTTTATTGTGGAAGATGCATTATGCGACATGTTACTAAGTTCTAGTTATCTCTTTATTTTCTTATCATTTCTAGTTATCTCTTTTGACAAATTCTTTATATGCATTTACTTAAATAACCAATCATTAATGGTGTTAGAGATTTTGGGTTTTTAGTGGAGATTTTGGAATAACTCGAGTAAATAGAAGATAACCATACTTTGACCTGTCTGGTGAAACTCATTCCACTTATTATGAATATTTGGAAGTTGGAATTTTTTAATGTGGGGTCACTGCATTCCCCTCCAATGTATATTTGGTAAATTGTAGGATTTGTATCTTCCCCAGTTCCTTATGTATTTTATCCGCTGTTAGCACGGATTGCTTGTCTTCAAGAATATTGTGATCACAATATTTGTTTTGGTTGAATTTATTACCTCTGCAAATGATTGACAGTTAAATTCATATCTAGGATGTATATGCTAACATTTTTTAAAGAATCATGGTCTTCAAGATCTATCATATTGTTTGAAATTGGATGTTTTAATCATAGCTAGGATTTGCTTTGACTGCTTCAATTTTCCTGGTGGAAGTTGATAAAAAGCACATGTATGTATTATCTTCCTATATTTTGTTTTTCACTGAATGCTTTCATCTAAGAAATTGTTATTCCTAATGATTGTAACTGTTCACAATTATTTTTATTCCTAGTAAATATAGTAAGCATGTGGCTTTTGACTTGGATTTTCTTTTAAATTTGTTTTTTTTCCGCTTTATGTTCTTGAAAATTGTTTCTTAAAGATGAATTTATTGGTGATGATGTATAAATAATATTTGGGGTTGTTTTTGTAGATGGAAATCTGGTCCTGGAACCTAGTGCAGAGATGATCAATTTTACCAGCAAACTACTTCTAGATTCCCATGGCAGGACTCACAGGAATGATTTGAAAATGCCCGCATTAATTTTGGATGATAAAGAGAAGAAGGTTTCAAGGTTTATCTCTAGTAACGGATTGGTTGAAGATCCATTAACTATTGAGAAGGGAAAAGCTTTGATCAATCCTTGGACATCAGAGGAGAAGGAAATTTTTATAGATAAGTTGGCTGCCTTTGGGAAGGACTTCAGAAAGATTGCCTCCTTTCTTGATCACAAGACTACTGCAGACTGTGTTGAGTTCTATTACAAGAATCACAAGTCTGAATGTTTTGAGAAAACAAAGAACAAGAATGATCCCAGTAAGCAGGGGAAGTCTGATGTAAATACCTACTTGTTGACATCTGGGAAAAAACGGAGCCGTGAAAATGCAGCATCGCATGATATTCTCAGTGCAATTCCTGTTATAGCCTCTCATGCCGAAAGTAGCATTCAAAACAGGCATAAATCTTCTGGTAGGATCCTTTTAGGAGGGAGGTTTGTTTCTAAAAATTCTCGAGTTGATGATAGCTTTGCTGTAAGGTCATCTAATTTTGATATTGCTGGAAGTGATGAAGATACCGTTGCTGCTGATGTTTTAGCTGGTATATGCGGTTCTTTCTCTTCAGAGGCAATGAGTTCCTGTATCACTAGTGCTGGCCCTGGAGAGGGCTACCATCATGACCGGAAGTGCCACAAAGTTGAGTCTGTGGTTAAAAAGCCCTCAACATCTGATGTCTTGCAAAATGTCGATGAGGATATTTGTTCAGATGAGAGTTGTGGGGAAATGGTTTCTGCTCATTGGACTGATGAGGAAAAATCCATCTTTATACAGGCTGTCTCATCTTATAGTAAGGATTTTGAAATGATTTCACGATATGTTAGTACAAGATCCAGGGATCAGTGCAAGGTTTTCTTTAGCAAGGCTCGTAAATGCCTTGGACTTGACTCGATACACCCAACAGCAAGAAACACTTGTATTCCCATGAGTGATGATGCCAATGGTGGTGGGACTGATACAGAAGATGCTTGTGTCCAAGAGAGCTCGGTTAATTGTGGTGATAAGTTGGGATCTAATGCGGAAGACGACTTACCTCCCACTATCATGAGCATGAATGTGGATGAATCGGATCCTACCAGGGAAGTGAGTTTGCAAACTGATCTGATCATGTCAGAGGGAAATGACGGGAGGCTAGTAGATGACCAAAACCCTGAGGCAGTGAAAGCTATTTTTTCTGATGTAGACCCAACTGGGCCAATTCCTGAAGGTGGTACTGATGATATGGATGTTGAGAGCAAACAGGCTGAATCACTGCAGGTTCAGATAAGTGTTGCTTTGGCCAATTTAAGTACCCTAAGAAAGCACGTTGTTGAACGGGATGTTTCTCTTGCTGGATCTGCATCTCATGGGGGTTCAGCCGATCCTTGTCTTTCTAGTTTAGATGCTTCGGTTGAGCCTAAATCTGATGCTGCTTGGTCTACTGAGGGGTTTGGAAATAATTTGGAGGCACAGAAAATATCGTCGTCTAAAAATGGTACGAATGAATGTGATGCAAAATGCAGTGCAGAGACTGGCAGACAAATTATATGTAGGCCAGTTTCAAATAGAACTGGTGATGAGTCCATTGATAAAAAATTTGACGCTAAAGTTCTGCATCAAGTCCCTCTTGACTTGGGTTCTGCTGGAAAGCCTTCTATCATATTAACTCCTGATGAAAGCTCTTTTGCTAAAATTTCTGCATTACATGATTCCGATACCTCTCAATGTGAGAGCATATGCAACCAAGATAAGTTGTCATCGACACTTGCTCTTCCGGAGAAGGAAGACGGACATTCTCACAAATTTGTTAGTGGGCATGTGTCTGAGCAATATTCTGGAAAGCCCTTGGTGAATCTTGCTGAACTGCAAATCTCAACTTTGAAAGCAATAAATGATGATATAGGGCGTAGTCAGTTGCCTGAAGTTAAAAGGCTTTCACCATTGGAAAGGGGTGTTACTGGTTCATTTTTGGCTCATGATTATCTTCATAAGTGCAATGGTCCAAAACCAGCAGCTGAGCTTCCACGACTGGTACCAAAATTAGAGCAAGCAAACAGTCGGCAGAAATCCCATTTTCGGAGTCTGTCGGATACAGAAAAACCTTGCAGGAATGGGAATGTCAAGCTGTTTGGTCAGATACTCAATTCAAGCTCCCGAGACGATGAAAAGGTGGCCCATTTCTCGAAACAAAGGGCGAAGTATTCAGATTTGAACTTGACAGATTGTAGAAATGTTGATGAAAATGGATCTTTGCCAAAATTCGACCAAAACATCATTTTTGCACCCGAAAATGTTCCCAAGAGAAGTTATGGTTTCTGGGATGGCAACAGGATGCAAACTGGGTTGTCATCTTTGCCAGACTCTGCTATTTTAGTGGCAAAGTATCCTGCTGCTTTTGTTAATTACCCTTCATCGTCATCTCAAATGGAGCAGCAGGCATCACAGACTGTTGTTCGGAATATCGACAGAAACTTGAATGGCGTTTCAGTTCTTACTCGAAGGGAAATAAACAGCAACGGCTCTGTGATGGATTATCAAGCGTACAGGGGCCATGATTGTACCAAGGTAGCACCATTTACCGCAGATGTAAAGCAGCAACACGGTATGTTCTCCGAGATTCAAAGACAAAATGGCTTGGAAGCAATCTCGAATTTACAGCAGCAGGGAAGGGGAATGGTTGGAATGAATGTAGTGGGGACTGGAGGAGTCGTTGTAGGGGGCTCGTGCTCAAATCTCTCTGATCCCGTAGCGGTGCTCAGGATGCAGTTTGCGAAAGCGGAACCATATGGTGGGCAGAACGGGAGCAGAACGAGGGAAGAGTCATCGTCGTGGAGAGGTAATGGGGACATGGACATACGCAGGTAGCAGAAACCAAATTCCTGAGCAGCAAATAACTCTTTGCTGCACACTGTATAATATTTTTTTTTGTTGTATTTGTTTCTAATGAAAATCACGATGATAAGGGCAAGCAGTCAAGTCCAGAAAGTCTTTTTTTTTTCTGGTAAGAAAGAAAACATTTTAGGTGGCCTTTGTAATATTTGCAGCAGCAGTCTTTGTATTTGTTGTAATTGATGGAAAAGTACACAAAAATAATCTGTCAAAAGTTTAGGGGGCAATACTGCTATTTTGCTGTTTCTTGTAGACAAAGATACTTTGTTCACAAGTCATTCGAGTTCAGCTTTATAGAAATTTAGAATTCAATTTTAGAAGTTTATTTGAATTTTCTATTGATAATATATTTTTATCTCAAAAAAATTTATAAATTTTTATCCTAACACTATTATTATTTTTTGATTGATTGAATATATATATATATATTGTTGATAATATATTTTTATCGGTTTTATGTTATGTAAGTGAATTTTAACCTATACTTAAGTGGATGGAACAAATGGAAAATTCAAAAAGAATCTTTGTTTATGCCATTGATATCGTTTAAGCGGGTTTTAAGGTTAATTTTTTGTGTATGTAAAAATTTTTTACATAGGGATTTATTCATCAAAATTAGGTGTACTATGTGTGTCAGTCTAGATTAATCAAAGGTAATGCCTTAAAAATCAGGAGAGCAATGAAAAAAAGGACAAATATTAGAGAGATTAAAAAGAATAACCAAATATCACCCCAGGGCGAAAGTAATGTGTCGAAATCGTTTTTAGGTTCGAAAATAATTAAAAACAAACATTTTGCTATATTTTTATTTGAAAAGATCAACTTTAAGGATAAATTTTAGTAAAATTAAATATAAGCTTGTAATTTTTAACTATATATATATATATATGAATAGATTCAATTACACAATGTAAAATTTTTACTTTTACAAAAAAATTAGAATCGATAGATGAGTGAAAATAAATAATTGATATTAACAGTAAGAAAATAGAAGATATTCACAGGAAAAAATGAGTTAATCCTAATTATCTAATTTTACTCATCCAACAATCATAAATCTATACAAAACTACATAAGAAACGCAGAGAAAAACGGGTTACTTCCGATTGTTTATTTTTATCCATCCAACGATATTAAATATATATAAAACTGAAAACATTTAACATGATATAAGTGAACCCTAACCCATATATATAAACCATTCGTAAAATTAACTTCATTTCTTGATATAATAAAAGCCTTTTAGAAAATTGTCAGAAATATTTTATCCCATTTCCAAGTATTTTGTTAGAAAAAAAACAATTATAAAACTATGAGAGAAAAGAAATATTAGAATATAATAGCAACATAAACCAAAATAAAACACAAGCTCATAGCCAGAATGCATGAAATAGGATGCTTGAAAAACTAGTAAGAGAATGATATCAATTTTCTTTCTTTGATGAACATGAAAGATGTCAATTTAAACCATAATTTTAAAAAAAAAAACATGCATTCATATTTGGATAAATAACATGTTTACATTCAAACTGTCATGGCATCAAGGTTGGTTCCTCTCTGCTTGAAGAGATCGGCACAATGATTCGAGCTTTTCTTTCTGGTTCCTCGTCTTCTCCAATTGCTTCTTCAACAGCTCGCACTGCTCGAGCAAAGATGAGTAACAATTAGTAGCAGATGAACTCTTGTTGAAACAGATTATGGTTCCTAAAGAATCAAAGCTCAAAACTGACGTGTTGAACTGTGTACCTCCTCCACAAGTTCTACGAGAGTAACATCGGATTTGTCACATTTGCTCTTCAAGAATACATTTTCCTTCTTCAGTTCCTTGATTGATTTTCCCATCTAATTTGTATACAAAAGGGGGGAAAATAGTTGGTGACTTGAACAGAAATCATAATACGACATGGGGACTTGGATTCGGGTACAAATGTGTAACGTGATTATGTATCAGACATTGATATATTCGTTTTTTTTTACAGGTTTCCATGTATTTCAAGAGTCACTAGATCATCATATCGCTGTACGTATGTCTGGACATGGGTACTTCAAGAAATATGAAGAGCCGGACCGACATAGCATGGGTCAAGCCGTGCGAAAAACTTAGAAAACTTGAGCTATAAGGAAAGGTAAAAGGAAAATAATGTACCTTTTCAATCTCTTTCTTAAATGTTTCAAATACCTCATTGCTCTTTAACAAGGCATCCTGCAAGATTAAGCAGAGTTTGAACATAATGAAGATGAGATAGGTCCAAATACCAACGGTGCGACAAAAAGGGCATGGAGACACTAATCAGATTTCAGCATTGCTGCATCTCGGCATTCGATATGCAGAGGATGTCGGAGCAGTGAAGTGCATACAATCAGTGACTTCTTAGTTGCCTACAAAGGTATTAAAAAAGTTTTCCACTATCATTCCTACAACGAAAGCACAACTTCTTAAAGCTTTTTCATGTGTTTGTAGGATCTTTGAAGAGCCGTATCCATATCTACATCCGGATATGCATCGGAAACGGGTATTAGACATAGATACTTCACTAGTTTTTAGTTAGCAAAATCACTTGGATTGTAGTTTCCTACTGAATCATGATATTGTGCATGTGACAACAAACCTTCCAATTAGACCTCTTAACTGAAATCCGATGTCAGCCATCCAAGACGAATGATATAAGCACTCAATACCTAATATCTGTATTCATCAGCTTAAAGAGGAAAAAAAAAGAAAAAACTGCCACTAAAACCGAAATGATAAATGACATGGAAAGAATCTGACCTGAAACTGTTGGAATTTTTCTCCATCGGCTGTCAACTGCATGCGTAAGTTCTTTTCAGTTGCCAATAACTGTGACACTTGCTCTGCATATACTTTCATCTGCACTTGTTCTTGGACCAATTTCTCTTCATGTTGCTTAATTTTTAGATCAGCAAGCTCTAATTCTAGTGTTTTTTGCTTTAGCTGTGTTGAATGTCCACAACATAAGGCTAAGCTCAAGGTCCTAGACAACACAATTTGATTCTATTTTGAGATGGAAAACCTTCGTTATACCGGTAAATTTAACCCGTACCTTTTGTTCAAAATGTTGTTCACAGAGAGCATATTGATCGGCAAACTGCTTCAACTTCTCTCTTAACCTATACATGAAGAATTCCAAAGTTCTATGAGTAATGACAAACTGGAAGTAAAACAATCCGTTAAATCAAAATAAATGATATGAGTGCAACGATGCTTTCCCAGATAGCAGGAACTCTGTAGAAATTTACTTGGAAAAGCCAATATATTTGAAAACCCCTAAAGTAAGAAGATCAGATGTCCGAATCAAATGATCATTGGGAAAAGGGGGGGGGGAAGAACCAGAATACAAAGCATTTGTAATTTGATGTTACCAATCTTGAAGGACAATATTTGTTATAATTAGACATGCAATTCCTGTTTCTTACATCTCTTTCTCCTTCAGTTGAGATAGACACTCATTCTTCTGCTCTTCCATCTTATTGGTCACATCCTATATGAAGGGGAAAAAAGAAGATTAAGAAACTACCAGTAAAATATGTTTAGGGTGAATCTCTTTCGGTACTCGACACTTAAACTCGAGTCCTATTAATATAGAATCATCCAACATGAGATGCAGTTTTCAACTCTCGATTCAACTAATAGACTTGCAGTACTATCTTGAAGAGTTACGACACAGTTCCCTTTACAATTTATCTTGCTTTTAACATATCATCTCTGTTGACCTATGCTACATATATGCTATGCAAACCCTTTTCATGGTATCAATCATGTCTAGCAGTTAAGACAATGATCTTAGGAAGTAATATAACTACAGAGAGATGGACCAGTCAGCATGTAGGTCAGTCTATCCACCAAGATCACTTTCAAAATCAAAACGGGGGCATCGAACCTTGATCGCATTATGGAACCTCGCTGATAAATCTAATCTTATATCTTGCCCTTCTGTTGATACCCGTTTGCATTCATCCTGTGAAATCATGAACAAGCCCATCAGCAGCTTCATAAAAGAAAGACAAATAGCTCAAAAAGGACAAGTATATATAATATATTTGACATGGAAAATGAAGGTCTTTAAAAGATGGTGATAAAAAATCACCATTAACGATCTCAAATATATCAAAATTAAGGGTAAAACTAAAGGAGTGTTGCTTTCCTCAATTAAATTTGTTCTTCAGATTTACCATCACTTGGTTAAAAGTAAAACGCTTACAGAAGAAACCAGAGGTTCAAAAAATGTTTGCAAGTACAACTTTATAGAAGAAGTACATTTGAGATCAGAACTATCATTTATATCATTTTATGGTTGGTTTGTAACATAATTGTTAGGTCAACATACTCGGTGCAAAGTGTATCAAGAACAAATACTCAGTAGAATGCAATAAATAAAAAAGTGACAAAGCATCCAAAGAGAACATACCATTAACATTTTGTTTTGCCGTTGTAACTCCCTTCAAAGTGATTCAAGTTTATCTCGGACAGCAATAGCTACATGAGTATGCAAAGAAACAAAAATCAGTTCCGTGATGTTAAAGATATAGAGAGAGATATAATATTCACCGATGAATCATATGTGCCTCTTCGATGCTCATATCATGCAAAACCTAATTTTCAGCTATAGCTTCTAAATTTAGCTGGTCAAAATTTCCAAAGAAATGGACATAACTGGGTGCAGTGAGGTCAAAAGACTTTCTCCTCACTCAACAAAAGAAGAAAGAATCTGTAACGTTAAACGGCGTTTATACAGGTTTTAGAAAAAAAATTGCAAACTGAACACACAGAAATTGTATACACCGCATATAGCAGAAATAAAAACCAGTTTTCAAACTTAATGGATAAGTATCATTATTCGTTGTTGGCAACAAAAGGTATATTCACAGCAAAATAACTCGCACAGTGATGAAGGGTCGAAAAATTTTGGTCTTAGGTAAACTAAACCAACATATTCATCACATCATGTGATACAGAGAATAGTGACCTTTTTGGGCATCATAAATGTTAATTCAACTTACCTGAATCTCTTTCTGCAAGAACTTCTTGATATTTGAAAGAGAACTCGAGAAATTCCTTTTCAGATTTTAATGTACATTTTGCATTCTTGCGTTTGGTTTCGGTGGTTTCCTAAGAAATAAACCGGTGAGTTCACTTATATAGATGAAACTGATATAAAATAAGCATATAGAAGTGAACTCTGAATTAGTGAACGTCAATGAA